TCCATGCCTCGACTTCCCCAGCAATCTAACAAGTTTTGCTTCTCTTTTCTCCTCCCCTGCCTCCCTCTTCAGAGTCAGGGTTGTCTCAGGGTGTTTGCAGAGCTGCGTTTTGATCTCGGCTCCACCACTGCAGTGAAAGCAAGGTGGAGAAATCAGGATGGCAGGCAGGGAACTGGCAGGAGCCCTTCAGAAATCAATCCCAGAGGCAACAATTTAAGGAGCAATCCTTTTGTTTCTGGATTCCAGCACCCCTTTGGCACCAGGGGAACTCTGTAGGACCAAGACTCACCTCAGGGTTAGATCCAACACCAGTGGGTGCATCAAAAGCTCTGTTTCACCCAAAATGTGGCCCAGCTTCACACACAACGAGGGGCATTTTAAAATTGCATTTTTAAAGGTTTGTTTTTAACTACACTCCATCTGAGAGTAGTTAATTTTCCAGAGCCTGGGAATTTTATTAGGGCAAGTACCAACCTTCTGCCACAAGAGCCAAAGCCAGCAGGCACAGAGCAGCCCATCCATGGTGGCCCTGGCGGGTGGCAGGAGGGGGTGAGGCTCCCTGGGAGTCATTCCAATCCCTGGAGAAATATTTGGGAGTGGAGGCCTGGAGTGCACGGCAGCCCAAGCATGAGTGTGCTCCCTTCAGAAGGAAAACAGATGGTTTATAGCCCAGAGAAACAGGCAAGCAGTGAGGGGATGTGCTGGGAAAAGCCAACAAAAGCCAGACATTCAGGATTGCCTGAATAACCTTAAAATACACTTGTTCTTTTAATTCATAAATTGCTATGAATTGGGATTTTTATTTCTGCTTCAGTGATTCTGAGGCATGTGAAGGCTCTGCCTGCTCCCATCCCAAATGGAGGAGCAGGAAACTCCACTATCTTTCCTTTAAAGCTTTAAAGCAAAGTTGGGTCCAGCCCACATTTTCCTGCAAAAGAATCCCTTCCCCTCATCACACACCAGTCCTCCCAGTTCCAATCCCCAAGCCCCAGTGCCAGCCACCAGTGCAATGCTTTGCTGGACAGACTTCATCCCCAGGAGCTTCCTGGCCATGGAAACATCACGGCCCCAGATTTAATTAAAATAAAATATCCCACACCAACAGGAGCCTCGTTGTCTTTCAGGGTTGTCTTGATAATTATAAAATAAATTGCATTTCTATTGCGCCTTTCATCCCTGGATCTCCACGTGTTTTACAAGCGTTAATTAATTTAGCTTTCAAATAGCCCTTCCCTCTGATGCCACATAAAAATTTAATAAACAGGTAGTGGGAGAGGCAGGGACCTGTTCTGGGACATGAGGTTGGTCAGTGGCCAGCACAGAGGGAAAGCCCCAAATCCCAAAACGTGTAAGAAATGAGATGTCAAAAAGAAGGGAAAAGCTGGGAATTAGGGATATGAGCACACATCCCCCCTTTGGGAGCCCAGAGCCCCCCATGGCTCTGTGCCAGTGTGGGAATTGCTGCCAGGGAAGGGGAAAGCCCAGGGTGGGAGTGTCAGGAGCTGTTAAGGCACATGACATATTGATGGAATTAAAACACATTTAGGGAAATCTCCAAATAGTTTTCTTTCTTTTTTTTTTTTCTTTTTTTTTTTTTCCATTTTTTTCTTCTGTTTCCTTTTTTTTTAGCTTTAAAGAATAACACTGACTGTCTCAAGCTGTGGTAATGTATTCAGGCAACACAACTGAGTCAGAGCTAATTGAATTTAAAAGCAGGTATTACATCTGTGCCTTCGGAGTGAGTACATCCTGAAAATCACTTCAGTGATGAAGTGTTTTACCCAACTACTACTTAATCTTTTTACATAGAAAGCAGAATTAACCCCGCTGCGCAGCCTTCATTAAGGAAACCAAATGAAGTTACCTGGTGAGATTCAAATGTGCTCCAAGTGGTGAAACTTCAGCTGAAGTTTCTTAAATCCAAAGGGACTTTTCTTCCTTTTTTTTCTTTTTTTTTTTGTTGAAAGTCCTACAAAGTGGTTTAAACCAGGTCAGTTATCTGGGTCCTGTTTCACTTTCTGTCATTAAATCTGAGAGGAAATAAGCACACCAGGCCCTGTGTATAAATACATGTATGACTGGAGAAATGGGTCAGCTTCCTGCCCCCTGTCCAGGAACCATCCCTACCTGCCCTCCTTTCCCCATTCCCACACTCCAGGCTCTCCCTCTCTCCAGGAGGATCAGATAAGTACAGGAGAAAACACACTTTGTAGAGAGCTCCAAAAATCATCCAAGCCCCCCCTGCCACTCTGAGCATCACCCAGAGCCCCCTGCTCCCCCTGGAAAACCCTGAAACAGGGCAGCAGCCCGAAAGCAACAAGACATGGACCCTTTGTGGGCAGAGTGAAAACCCACAGCTCTTTATATAGAGAGAGAGTCATAAAATGGTTTGGGTTGGAAGGATCTTAAAGATCATCTAGTTCCAACCTCCTGTATTTTATATATATACAGATATATATATATATATATACTTGTATGTATATATTCAAATATACACACACACACACACACATATAGATATTTTTACTTTATATTCTATTACTTTTTACACTTGGTATATCCCTTTATGCATTTCTATATATATCACACACACATATATATCCCTTTATATACTTGGTCTGTTACTTTACACCAAGCAAAAGCCCAAAGCAATGAACTGAGCTCAGAGCTCTCTGCACCCACCTCACTCCCATCCTTGGGCTGCTGCAGGGCCCTGGGGGAGGAGGCAGATCCTCCTTCTCTGGACCAGAAAAAGAGCAGGAAAAACACCCCAAAGAACCATCTGTAAAACTATTCCAGCAAATCAACATTTTTGGCTGGCTGTATTTATCCATCAGTTCCCAAGGCAGCCACGAGGGAGCTGGGAAAGCTGTGGGGATCCCCTCGACGCTTCATGAATTTCAAGTGCAGACAATTGATTTACATCGGCAGAAATTTGCATGGGGAGAAAAAAAAAAAAACTGTGAAAAAAAAAAAAGAAAAAAGAAAAAAACCCTAAAAAATGAGCTCTTCACCATTCATTAATTTTCTCTAAAATTCATTCATCCAATTAGGCAGCTGAAATGGTGCGTTGTAATTTAGGTACCCTGTGACACACCATGACTATTGATGGCTCCTGATTCAAAAGGAACAGAAATGGAATAAATCTCAGGCTACAGGCTCTTCAAAACCTAATTTCCTTCTAGTTATGAACCAGGAAATCATCCGGAGAAATCAGGAGAGGTTCAGGCAAATTTAGGTTGGGCATCAAGGAAGGAAGCAGGTTCTCTGCTGGCTGTGAGCTCCAAATCTGGGGAATTCCCTTATGAAACATCTCATCACTTGTCACCGGTGGATGTGGAACAGGGGCACCCAGCCTTGTGTGTCCACCCCAGGGAGCATCTCCTACAGCATCCCCAGTGCTCCTGACTGGCCTTGCATTCTCTGCATCTCCGTCAGCAGCGAGAGGTTTTTGGAAGGCAGCTGCCAAAGTCAGGACATCAGGTGTGTGCTGCAGAGGACAGGGTTTAACTGTGATAAACAGGGGGATTTGATGTTGCCTCTTTGCCATTAAGAGTGGCTGCAATTTGCTGACCGAGGTGGGAGGGGTCGTTATCAGGGTGATAAAGCAGCACCCTGGGGGCCCTGCGGATGCTCCCAGCCAGGTCTTCCCACTCTGTGTGGTTTGACCCATTTTGCAGAGAAGGAGAGTGAAGTACCAAGTGTGTTCAAGTTGAATGAAATTGCAATTCCAGAAAAGAAATCTCACTGAGGTCCTAAAACATGTGGAAATGATGTTTTCCCCATTTTCTCTTACTGACCTCTCTGGGAGTAAGGACACTCCATCCACTTGTCCACAAATGCATTTAAGTGTCCCCATTTAACACAGATGAAGAGGGAAATCTGGGGCCAGACTATCATTTGGAGACTTTCCACAAATCTTCCACAAGATTTCCAACCACAGGCTGTGGAAGAGAGCTGAGGACTTCACATCCCCCAAGGATCACAGAACCCCAGGGCTGGGTGCAGGGTCCTGCCCCCCTGCAGGAACACAGAGCATCAATAACACAGCAATAAATATTCCAGGCAGCTGGTTTCATCCTGTAAGTGAATATGGAGATATATTTAGAGACGTGTTTGGAGAGTTATGGGCAACTCATCATCATAACATGTGAGCACTTATTGAGTTTCCCAGGATTTAGGGTGAGATCCAGAGATGCACTTTAGGTGCTGTAACTCAGGTAATGAGATGCCTGAAATAGGTGGTGGGAGGCTCAAGGACACGTTTCCAGGGGTGTTTGATGCAGTGCTGTCCATGAGGGAAGTCTCTTTTCCCTCATACATCAGAAGACTTTACCTCTGGAACCTGGGGGCACTGTCAGGGTTTAATCCACATCCTCATCTCTAGCCCAGCACCTTGGCTTCCAAGCACACCCAGTGCCAAAACCCCTGATAGAACCCCTGATTTAGGGAAGAAGCTTTTTCCCCCACCATCACTTGTAAAATCATGGAATGGTTTGGGTTGGAGGGACCTTAAAGCCCACCCAGTGCCACCCCAGCCATGGCAGGGACACTGCCACTGTCCCAGGCTGCTCCAAACCCCATCCAGCCTGGCCTGGGGCACTGCCAGGGATCCAGGGGCAGCCACAGCTGCTCTGGGCACCTGGGCCAGGACCTGCCCCCATCATGGTGCATTTCTCTCCTGGCCAATCCATCCTTGTGAGGAGGAGAACTACCTCAGATCTCTGTCTGGACAGATATTGGGAGGAGCAGGTGACCCAAACCTTCAGAAGCAGCTCTGTGCCCTGAGGGGCGGCTCCTGCTGCTCCACTGCCAGGAGAAACACCTGTCTTTCTTCCTATTCCTCAAAAAAAACCCCAAAACGTAACTCCAGAAACACAGGGTTAAGATCTGGAGGCAAAAAGGAAACTCCTGGTGCCAGATCCCGTCAGCACTGGGGAAAAATAAAAGGTCTCCAGTCCCCAAAAGCCTCCCAGAAAAAAAAACCAGGAAGAAGTAAATAAATTTCACTGAGCCTTTTGAAATGGTTTAATTGCCTTTGTGCTCTAATTGCTCCTGGTTTTACAGCCTCATTTCTTGTCATAAAATTAGTCCCACTTTTTATGCTTTTTCCTTTTCTACTGGTCTGTGATTATTATTTTTTAATTGCTTTGGTGTGTTGATCTCTCCCACGTCTCCCCCGGGAAGGGGAAGAGGGACCAAATTCTGTGGCTGCCGCCCGCCCGGGGGATGCTGCAGCTGCTGAAAGGAGATGGACGCTGACGTTTTGGGGTGAATGTTAACACTAATCCCTCCAAAACTGCCACAAATACCCAAGAGTGGGGCTGGGCACAGGGACTCTGCATCCAAGCACAGCCAGCCCCAGGAGGAGGAAGCGGTGATTGGGAACACAGCGACTTCTGGCAGGATTTTCTGGGGAAAGATTTCTCGCTACAAACCACAAGCATCAGGAACACAATAAAAGCATAGGAGGAAACCAAACCACCTGAAAAAGATGAAAACTGCGTCATCTGTAACCCTTTTTAATAACCATCTTATTTCAGGCAGCAGCAGGGCGTGCTCGCAGCGCAGCATCTCTGTTTGTCTGGCCGTGATGTACAGCTGCAATAGGAAGCCGTGCGTGAAGTTTATTAAGGCTGGGTAATTTCTATCGGTTCTGTTACTATTGATTCCATCTCTACTGCTATCTTGCTCTGTCTGGACCTAAAAAGTGGTTTAAAAACAAGGAGAAAAAAAAAGCATATAGTTCTTCAAAAATGGCAAGTATTATGGGATGTGGGATGTTGCCATTTTGGATGCATTAGCAACACTCTGCAAAGGAAAGTGTCTGAGATACAAATCTTATTAAGGAGACTTTGATGATGTTGAGACTAAAAATGAGGGAGCGTTTTGAGCTGAACCAAAACACAAAGTTGAATCTGAACTTAGCTCCACAAATTTCTGTCTCAGGGGTAGAAGGAAAATTGGATTTGCTTTGGCTTTCAGCCAGCCCTGCTTCATCCTGAACTAGCTCTCCACTGTCCACGTCTCCCACGTCCTTGGAGTTACTCCCAGTTTGTGGCATAAGCAAGAGTGAGCTCAGAGGAGCAGCTCTACCCACCGTGATGCTCAGGGCTGGTGCAGCTCCACCTCAGTGCAAGTCCTGTGGTGTCAGAAACGCAGATCCCCAATGCACAAAAGCAAACCTTGAAGCCTCCTCTGGGGCACGAAGGGCTTGCACACATCTCTAGCCCAGCCCAGAGCTTCCCTGCTGCTCCTGCATGAAATGAGGCCACAGGATGAAGGGGCCATGTCCCACACACGTCCCAGTCCCACCCCAGGAGCAGCATTCCCAAGTGGACCAAGCTTTTCCCCACAGCTGGATCATCAGCCTGGTGTCCTGGGCTCCATGAAACGAGAACACAACAGTGACAGAGCAAGTTTGACACAGATCCCAGCTGAATCCCAACCTCCTGGAGCTGTGGGATGCCAGGATTTGGGTCAGGCCCATCAGTACTCAGTTCATTGGCTCTCTCAGCTAAGTGGCACAGCCCCCCTGCAGTGACATTTAAAAGATAATAATTAAGAAATCAAGAGGTAGTCCTCTCCTTTAGGCTGTTGTCCAAGCACAGGTCCCTGTCAGTCCCAGGCACAGCCTGCCCTGTCCGTGCTCCACTCCCACTGCCCTCCCTGCCCTCCCTGCCAGAAGTGTTCTGATCCTTCCCAGCTGTCCATGGGTTCAGGTCACCTCCATTTCCTTACCAGTGTAATCCAGGGCCATCAACCACCCCAGAGCCAAAGCACAAGGAGAATCTGTCCTGGCTGGACTGAAAAAAAAGTGAAGTAGAGCTGAAGGCTGCAAGATGAGTTGTGGGAATGAGAGTGCTTTGTGGGATATCATCCAATTCCTGCTGGACAAAATCCATCATCCCCTTGCTACTCACCTGCCTTTGTGCCAACACACACCAAAGATATCCAGAAGCCTCAGAGGCCTCCAAGACTTTGTCCTGCCGAGTCAGGGTGCAGCACCTTGGGGGGACGTTGAAGGGAGACCCCAAATGAAGTTGGTAGAGCCGAGGAACATCTGGAAGAAGCAGTGGGAAGCAGCAGGACTGTTCCCTGTGGCTGCAGCCCAGAACCTCGTGCTTGTCCCTGGTGTTTTCCAAACTTCCCTGGAGAAGGTCTCTGCAGCACAACATTCCCTGCAGACAGCCCAGGGGGAGAGATACAGGATGAGCTCAGGCTCAGGCCTCCTCTGAATTCAGCTCACTGCCAGTAGCTGTGGGCACTTTGGGAAGGGAGCCTTTATCACCCTCACAGAGATGCCAAGGGAACTGCTGGTGGGTTTGGGGTTTTTGGTGCAGTGTATAATAGAACCCCAAGACAGTTTGGGTTGGTAGGGACCTTGAAGTTCCTTGTGCTCCACCCCGTGCCGTGGGCAGGGACACCTTCCCCTGGAGCAGCTCATCCCAAGCAGCCTCGAACGCTCAGCACTGCAGGGGAAGGGATGGGCAGAGGGGAGGAGATGACAAACTCCATCCCTGATGCTCCATCAGCAGCCAGGCACTTCCCAAAGAGCCGAGGAGCAGCCCCATGGCTGTGACATTTGCGATGCATTAAGTTTAAACATTTTCAATAAAGAAAAACAATCCGTTCAGACTTGCTTTATGATTCATAGTAATTGCAAATAGAAGCAGTTAATATAATTGTCCAGCTGAGACCAGCAGGCTGGGAACATGTAGCAGTGAGATGTACAATCAGGGAAGGTTGGGAGGGAATTTAAGTGCAGGTTAAGCAAATGCATTACTTTAATAACACACAGAGACAGCCCTTGTAGTTATAAAGAGAATAAAATAAATATTGTACCAAAAATCTACAGAATGGGAGGTTTTATCACCAAGAACTGCCCGCTCGCTATTTACTTTCAATTTAGATTTTACAAAAGCTGCACTTGCCATGTTTTTTATGTATAGAAGACAATGACTTGAATTGACAAATGACCTTATTTCTCCGTAAGTTTTATAAGGGAGCCTCAGTTTCTCAAAGAAAAATGATCACCTCCCAGCAGTCATCCCGGAGACAGAAAAAGGCTTTTTTTTCTCTTTTATTTTTTATTTCAGAAAGGGAGGACTGTAATTCAAAGAGGAGATGGTGCTCCTGCTCCTCTCTGCCTTGGAGGTGGGCCAACCCCTTTGACTTCTCCAATCACAAAGGAAGGGACCTGTTTCTCTGCAGTGCTTCTGTCTCTGAATTTCAGCCCTTTCTTTACTCCAGCTCAGACATGACCATGCTGGTGGCCTGGCAGGGCAGCCCAGCTTTAGGGCACAGCTCTTGTGCATGACCCTAATTTAACTTTACCTATCCCAAAAGTTAGAGCTTCCTCCCTTTTAAAGAATTAACTTGAGCTGGTTCAGTGTGAAGCAAGTAGAGAAGAGGGGAAGGAAGAAGCTATTGAAAGACATCATCTTCATCATCATTTATCCAGCTTAACCAAACGCTGGCTCTCCAGAGAAGAGCTATAGTGCTTTATTAAAAGATATTTTTGAGGGCAACACATTAAATTAAAGTATCTTGTTCACAGACTTAATGACACATAAACAGCCAAACAGAACATTGGCTCGTTAGAACCATTATAAAATATTAAGGGTATTAAAAATTAACTATTTACAGGCTATTTACTATTACCTTTCTCTTAGTGATGAGGGAGAATGAGGATGTTCAGGCTTGAGGGAGCTACCTGCAATACAGAAAAAGAAATACTGCTGTCAAACTCCTCCTGCCTGGTGTCCTCTGTTCTGCTGGGGGTGATGGATTAATGCAATGGATTAATTCTGGGGTGGCAGTGCCTGGGGTGTTGTCACCTCCCCAGCCACTTGAATATTCCAGCATCTCCCATCCAGATGATGAGGTAGAAAATGCAGGATAAGACAGGAAAAAGAATCAATCCCCCTCAAAAAACCTGACCCAAGCCCAAACGAATAGCATCTCCTTCAGGGCCCTCCAGGAGCATCCCTGACACCCCGTGCTGCAGGTGAACACGCCTGTATCCAGAGGGATAAATACCAGGAGGAGGAGACAGGGAATGCAATTTTAAAGTCACCGAATTTAGCATAAGAAGGTAATGGGATTGCAGTGGCTTTCCAGTAAATGTCATTGCTGTAATTAGGAGAACAATTATTGTCAAGCGGCAGAATTGTCCCCTATCTGTCATTCCAGCGGGAGCAGCCAGAGCCGCAATTCGGAGCCGCACGGGAGGGGCTCGGTTCAAACCCCCCTAAATGGGATCGGCCGGGGCTGCCGGGAACTCCGGGGCTCTGCCCCCGTCCCCTCTCGGCAGGATGCTGCAGACACAAACTTCATTTATTACAGCACCAGCCCGGCGTCCTGGCCTTGTGCAGGGAAGACTTTAAGCAACTGCTTAACTCAGAAAACAATAATGCGCTGAACCGGTTTACAAATTTAAGGCCGAGGAAGCCAAACCTCCCTCCACCGCCAGCAGCAGGACGCTGGAGCGGCTCCAGGGGGAGAAGGATGCCCTGGGGATGAAGGCAGCCCAGGATCCCGTGCATTGTCCCCAGCCTCATCCTCCTCCGCGGGTTTTCTCGTGTGACAGATGTGTGACAGCACATCTGGAGCGCGGGGCACTGCTGGGTGACAGAGGAGTTCCTCGGGGGTGTGAGAGGCGGAGGCTGCAGCCGCAGCCTGTAATTAACAGCATCCTCATCCCCAGGGATCTCTGACCCCTGCCCTTCCCAGGACACAGCCCCGCGCTCCCCTCTCCTGCTGCAGACCCCAGGCAGGAGCTGCGGAGCTGCAGCTCAAACACGGCCCCAGCAGCTTCCCCTCAGGTGCCACCACCGGCCAAGCCAAAACCGAAAAAGCCAGAAGTGTCCTGCATCCAAATTTCCCAGCCGGCTAGAGAAGAGAATTCTGCATAAAAGGAAAAGGGGATGCAGCGGAGGGAAGGAACAGGGAGGCAATTATTCCACTGAAAGCATTTTCAGCATCCTTGCAGCTCGTTGTGATTAACCGTGGCCAGAGTGCTATTAGCAGCCTGGGATGATGATTAACAAGCTCTCCTAATAGCTGTTTTTAAACCTGCTTTAAAAAAAAAATAAAAAATAAAAAAAAATAAATGCTGGAGCAGAGCTGGAAGGGGGTGGGGAGGCCGGGTGGTATCTCCAAGGAAACCAGAAACAAAATGGGCTTTGGCACATCGCAGAACCAGGCGGGTAATCAAAGATTACAACCAGTTTTAATTTAAGGTTAATTATTGTTTACTCTCCGGAGCCCGCCCCATCGGAAAGCAGCAGCCGGTCTGACCTTGAGCATCTCTTGCTGGGGCCTCTGCTCCGGCCCCTCTCGGCCGCATCTCCCGGAGGGAGCGGGGATGGAGCGGGGATGGAGCGGGGATGGAGCGGGGATGGAGCGGGGATGGAGCGGGGATGGAGCGGGGATGGAGCGGGGATGGAGCCGGGATGGAGCGGGGATGGAGTGGCCAGAGGGAGGAATCGATGCAGGGGATGGCCAAAGGAGGCCCGGTGGAGGCATCGACGGCTGGATCCTGCCCCGGCTGCGGGCTCAAAAGCTTCATTCAGCTTTATTTAACTGGTTGCCCCAACTGCAGACACGGTTAATTAATTTTGGACTCCTATTGATTTTCTATTTGGAGGAATCACAGTGGCATTTTCGCTCAAAGCCAGCCCCATTTTTATCAGTGAAAATGCCGTGTGGAGTCACCTTCCCCCGGCCAGCCCTTCTTCCCCCCGGAGGAGCCAGGGCTGGCACCTGCCCGGGGCTGGAGCCGCGGCTGCTGGAGCGGGGAGCGGCAGCGCAGCCTCCAGCTCCTCCCGGAGCTTTCCACAGCTGGGCAAGGCTGGATCCCAGCAACAGAGGGGCTCAGCCCCCCCTGCTCACACGGCCCCACCATTCCCACCCTCCTTTAGCTGCCAGAGATGCCCAGAGTGCAGCTCAGCCAGCGGAAACCCAACTCTGCACAATGGTCCTCCTGCTCCAATTCCACCTTGCACTTCCCCAGGCTGGATCCTGATTTTAACCACCAAGGCAGGCTGCAAAGACGGGACATTTCTCAAAGTCTCTCCTGGAAGATACTTTTTACCCCAAGCCCCTGTTTTGAAACTGCTGTGACAGCGCTGCTGAGGAATGGCAGCTGAGATTAAAGATGGTGACAACTCCCCCGAGCTCTCCTCCCTTTGCTCGGAGACAGACGTATTTAATTATGATAGAAAGGAGATCCTGGTGCGTGCTGCAAATACTTAAGGTGATTTGAAGCGTGAAGCTGCATAAGGTTTGTGAGATTTGAGGTTTCCAATCTGTTTGGGCTTGTTTAGACTGTTTCTGCTGTTTATTCCCTCTGTATTTTTACATGTTCTCAAGCGCATGGGAACTTCAGGAGACAGGTCTGAAGAAATCAGTGCAGAAAGGTTTTGATAACTTAATTTTCCATTTGATGCCATCACTGGGAGTGATGGGAGCATGGGGTTGGCTGAGGAGGAGATGGGTACCGAAGGAAGCATCATTTCTCTCCAGGAGTAGCTTCAGTCCCTCTCCTCAGGATTCCTCTCTCTCGTCATCATCACTTTGCTGATCCCTTTGCTTTGGCCTCATAGGGATTTGCCAAGGGCTGTGCAGAGCAGACAGGGGGATGGAGAGGGTTTCCCCACCATGCTGGTCCCCTGGGCTGACACCCAAGTGTCCTTTCCCTGCCACAAAGTGTAGGATTGATCCCGTGGTATCAGCAGGAGCTGCAAGGACACCCACGGTCCTCCCAGAGAGGGGAGAGCAGTAAAACCTCCCCTGGCCCTGCATCCTGAGGCACAGGGACACAAAGAGAGCAGCTCAAAGTCCACATGGACCTCAGTCCATTTTCTGTCCCCCACCCAACACTGGACCCCAGAGACCGAGGGCTGGCTTGGGACCAGCCCATGTCGTGTCCTTTTGCTTCTGATCCCAGCAGGAACTGACCAAGAGCAGATTCCAGAGCTTGATAAGGACAGGTTTAAATCCTGCCTGGTTGGGAACGCTTCAGGCATTTGGAGAATATAAAACAAATGGCTTTCCAGTGTTAATATTTACCTGGGAGATCAAATGATTAAACTATAATCTGCTCAGAACTTTTCTTCTAAGTTGCCTTTGAAAATATTTATCACATTTCCCTTGTGCAGCCTGACTGTCCCTGCAGCAACCCCAATGTCCTCCCACCCCGAGGAGACCTGTCCAGTGCCACCAGAGAACTTCAAACCAGGACAGCAAAGTGTCCCACACTGCCCCATTGTCTGCCAAAAGTGAGGTCTTGTCTCCTTTGCTCTTGGAGGATGCTCTGGAGCAGCTGTGTCACCACAGGGGTTTGGGGAAATGGCTCTCCCACTGTCACACTGGAGATGGGACAGCCCCAGGTGGCCTCACAGAGGCCTTTCCCTAAAAGCTGCCCAAAATATCTGCAGAGCCCTTCAGCCACCGATCATCCCCTTGCAGACTGATGGATGCTCTGGCTCCAGCGCTCACTTTGTCACTGTCACCTTCTTTTCCAAAGCTTCATGCAATTAGAGACAAGCTCCCCATGTTCACCTCACCCCATCAGGTTTCAAAGTACTCAGAGAAATATAATTAGATCTTCATGATCCTCCAGCATTTCTACAGATTCATTTCCTACAGAAGGTGGGCTGTTTTCCCTACAGGATCATTTCTATGGACACCCATTGTTTTTTATCCCCATTAAATATTACAAGCATCTCTTATGATTTCTTTCATAGGGACTCACTGGGATTCCCAGGGGAGTGAATAACTCATATCAGTTTAAGCTCTCTTACTGCAGCTCCCAGAGCAGCCCTGCAGCCTCCTACCTGGGGTTTTTCTGGGAGATCTGATCCAGCCTGGTGAGATGACAGCAGCCACACGGCCTCAAAAGAGCTCAGGGATGGAACATTGTACCTGCAGTGGGGACAGGGAAAGGCTCAATCTGAGACAGTGCAAAACACGGGGGGGAACTGCTGTTTGCTGCTATTTTGATAAATACACTCACAACAGGATCTGCTTGAGGCCTGGGAAGGCAGGCTCGTGGGGAACAGGGGTGTCACACCCTGGTGTGAGCGTGTCACCAGGCAGGAGCAGCTCTCAGCAGCTCCCAGGACCAAAAACAGCTGGTGGGGAATGAGGTGAGAGGACGCCTTGGCGCTGGTGGTGTGGAGGATTTGCTCCTTTAGGGATTTAAGCAGCAGTTTTGCATCCCTGGTTGCCATGGCAGCACAGGCAGTGCCTTGAGCAAGGCCAGCGCTGCCACGCCCGGCCGGGCCCAGCAGCACCAAACGGAGCCCCAAAAGCTCAGCGAGGCTCTGGGCAGAGCGGGGAGCAAACCCTGCCCTGCCTGGGATGGGATGGGACCCTCTGCCCTGCCCAGGAGCTCCTGCCACCCCTCCCCAGAGCCCCTTGGCCATTGCTCTCAGGGTGGAGGGCTCTGCACACCCCTTTCCAGAAGGTTCTTGGCCATCACTTTCCAGAAGGTTCTTGGCCATCACTTTCCAGCATCTCCTTTGGGCACAGCTTTCTGCTGGACCCAGCTGCCTCCCCTGTGCAGCTCCACAGGCAGACCCAACACTTTTGACACCAATTACAGCAGCAGTCGTGGAAAATCCACACTTGCCTGTTCCCACCTGGCTGAGAGGCTGAGGAGATGACCCTGGCACCACCTTTCCTCAGCCCCATCCTCACAAGAGCCTTAGGGGCCGTTCCCTTTGCTGCCCATGCATGGCAGTGAGGGATGCAGGAGCCCAAGCCTCACACCTTCTGCACATTTCCTGGCTGCTGTTCCCCTCATCGCAGCCCCCAGTGCCTCCGTTCCCATCTCAAATCCCTGCTGTCCTTCTCCGAGTTGTGTTGAGTGCTTCTCTTTATTGTCCTGCTTGTCTCCTCTCCACAGTGTAATTTTATCTTGTTAGAGAGGCACTAGGCAGTGTTTACTTTGTTTTACTTTTGTGGTGCTTTTAATTCTAAACTCTCTTCATCTGGGCAGCACTTTATCAGCCATGGGAAGCTGAAGGAAGCTATCTTTCATCCTTATCAAAATTCCTCTCCTTTCATTATCTCCAGTGCTGCTACAAAGCATCAAAAGGGCATCTTTGTTCTTGCAATCTAATATAATTCCAAATACAGCAATTCAAGCCTTTTGAGAAAGTTATGGACACAAACACACATCCATTACCTCCCCTCACTGTCCCAGCAGTGCTCCCACAGGAGCCCTGCAGCTGTGTTGGGGCTGCCCAGCTTTAAGGGGTGCAAAGTGGAGGAAAAGGAGATTTTCAGGTCTGAAGATGAAGGATGGGGATGAGTCAGTGTAGGTCTTGAGCATCTGTGGTCATGATGTCACTCCATGGGTGTGAGAAAGGCCCTGGGGCTTGGGGGGCAGCCTGTTTTCCACTGCTGATGTGCTCAGCTGGAAGTGCTGCTCCACGCCAGATGCCAGGGAGATGCTGCAGATGTTTCCTCCTGGCTCTGTCTGGGGCAGAGCCATCTGCACTCATTGATCCTGCTGAATCTGCCCTGTGAGGAGCTGTGCAGGCCCAGGGGGTCACCAGCAGTGGTGGAGGGTGCTGCTGGTCAGGGCTGGCCACAGGGAGGAGGTGACACATCTGCCACTGCCGGGTGTGACAGGGCTGCAGCGAGGGGCCAAGAGAGGCAGAAGTGAAGTCGGGGGAGAGCATGTCCTGGGTGAAGGGGTCACTGAAGGGGTTTGAGAGGAGTCTGGCTTGAAATCCTCCCTGCTGGGGCAGCCAGGAGCCCTGTCCCTCATAGTCCCACCCTCCCCAAATCCCAGCCAAAAAGAAAACTCGAGTTTTTCTCAGCCACCAAACACTGAGAGCCAATGCAGGATTTTCTCCACACCTCAGACATGACTTCCTAAGCTCAGTAAAACCCATCCTCTCATTGTCCCAGCCCAGACCTCACTCCTTCTCTCTCCCCAGGCTCAGCAGAGCAGGTCCCTGGAGCTCTGCATGCCCTGTGCCACAGCCCAGGGTGGCACACACAGCCCTCAGCCCCTCTGCCCCGTCCCCACTCCAGCCTGACCCCTCCCTGCAGCTCACCCACATCTCACTGATAACCAGGTGTGAAGGTGGAAAAGCTTTTTAAAGCTCCTGAAATTAAGGAACATGAGGGGGCTTCGATAGGTTTTGGAATAAATTGCCCATGAAAGTGCTGGGGAAAAACTATCTAGGGAAAAAAAGAGAGGAAGAGGGCAAGATAATGATATATCTAGGAAGAGGAGAGATCAGGAAGCAACTGGCTGATTGTTCCATAAGCACCTCTTAAAAGCAAACACAATAGACATGAGCAGTTTTTAAAATGACAGACAATACAATGGGAGATAATATATTTAAAACCCATATCAGTTGTTAACAGACCATAAAAACGCCGGTACATTAATCTGTGCTGTCTGTCATAGACTCATGAAGCAGCTGTGTTATTTTATAGTATCATTCCTGCGGGCTTCTCTGACACTTCCACAAATACATCTCAATTTATTTGGGTAAGAACAAATAGAAATATTGAATTCTTCTCATTCTGTTTCTGCTGCTCTTCTATTCCCCCCCACCCCCAGCCCCAAAAACTTGTGGAACACACTTGGTACAACCTCGGCAGTGAATTTTATCTGCCAGAATGACTGGTTGAACAGAAATGCTCTGTAGATCCAGGGCCATCCCACAAAGCCTCTGGAGGTGCTCCCACCCCTCCCCTGCTCCCTGGCACAGCCCAGGAGCGAGGGGAGCTCTGGCCCCCACACCACCACAAGCAAATGTTTAACATGAATTATTCCAGGCAATGACACGTGGTAGGTTCAAAGCTCGGTGCTGCCTTTGGTGTGGGCCCTTCAAAGAAGAGGCATTTCTGCTTTGGGTCCCAGGGGATGCTGGAGAGGAGCAGCTCAGGAAGCTGCAAAGCGCTGGGCTCGTGTCTAATGAGGGTGGGAGGAGGGCAGGAGCCAGCCTGGGAAAACGCAGGACAGGCTGTGAAGGGCTGGGGAGGCTCTTTTTAACACTGAACCCAGAGCTTTGATCTCCCTTCCGAGCTCCCTTCCGAGCTCTGCTGCCACCTGCGAGGGCAGTGTCCCTGTGCTCACTCAGTGGCCCTGGCTGTTCCCAGGAACCTGAGGGTCACTTCCAGCGGCAGGAAGGGAGGACAAAGCTCTGCACTGGCAGAGAAGGAAAGCACCCACCCAGCAGCTCCCACAGGTGAGAGGTACCTGGGAACTCTTCACCTCCCATTTGGATATGGCCCTATTGCAAGATCACTGATCTCCATCACTGCCCTGGCCAAGGGAAAATCTTCTGCAAACAGAAGGGTTGTACAGAGATGAGAAAACAAAATTATTATTATTATTGTTATTGTTATTATCATCACCATCCTCCTCCTCTTTCTTCTGCAGCTACTCACGCAAAGCGGAGATGCATTCCAACCCTCTCTCTGTACCCTGCCCTGCCAAGCCAACACAATAACCTCCCTTTGATCAGAAAAATATACAAATAAACATCCCCACACAACCTTTTGGGTTGTCAGCTGGAACAGTACTGCTGTCCCTGGATATTTGATTCCCAGCCCAGCCCCGTCCCTGCTATTCCAGCTCTCACAGATGTCACTCAGCTGCAATTTCCTACTCTGGGAGCTACGAATCCTCTGCCACTGTCAGGATATCATTAACCTTTGCTTTGGATTTAAATGGTCTCTTCCTGCCAGTGCAGTCATTTACTTCCAGCCTCCTCCCAGCCTGCAGCTCTGGGGCAGCTCCTGCTTGGTCTCAGTGCAATGTGGAGCTCACCCATGGCCACAGCTGTTCCAGCCCCTGGAACACCCCATGGCCTCCCTGGACCCTCTCCAGCAGCTCCAGCTCCTTCCAGTGCTGGGGGACCCATGGACTGGGACTATGGACACGGGCTGGAGGGACAGGGAATAGCTCCCAGTGCCACGGGGCAGGGCTGGACGGGATTTTGGGCAGGAATTGTTCCCTGGCAGGGTGGGCAGGCCCTGGCACAGGTGCCCAGAGCAGCTGGGGCTGCCCCTGGATCCCTGGCAGTGCCCAAGGCCAGGCTGGACAGGGCTGGGAGCTCCTGGGACAGTGGCAGTGTCCCTGCCATGGCTGGGGTGGCACTGGATGAGCTTTAAGGTCCCTTCCAACCTAAACCATTCTGGGATTCCGTGATAGTCATGGATAAATTGCAGCCTGGGAGTTGCTCTGTCAGGCTGCTGGACAGGCTTAACCCTTCTATTAAAAAGAAACAAAACTAAAAGAAAGAAAGAATAAAATAAATAAAAACTAGAAAAGCAGAATGCAGCTGAGATCAGGTTGTGGGGAAGCAGCACGGATCAAATCTCACTCTGGAGGGCTGGGAGCACTGAGATCTTCACGGATTATTGAAGGGACATGGCTGGCCCAAATGACTTTGCCATGGTCAGGAGAAGCCAAACACATTTTGTGGCAGAAATTGGTGGTGGAGTTACAGATCTCTGCCCCAGCCCGCCCACACACGTGTGCAGGACTCATCTCCCCACGGTGCCATCCTCCCAGATCGTTAGAAGAAAACAATTACTATGCAAATCTTAATGAATCAAGGCCACAACCCTCAACTGGGAACATAAATATCAAAGTGCAGCCTTCGACTGAAGGCAGAGGAAGAAGTGTAATTAATTGCATGGTGGAGCAGGAGCCAGGCTGAGGCTCACCATGGGCAGGACAGCCGTGGATGTGCCCATGCCCAGTCCCAAACTGGGGTGCCAAACCCACCCTGTCCAGACCGTGCCCCTCCAGAGGACACAGCTCCCTGGATCTGGATCTTGGCTTCCAGTTCAGGATTAAAAGGTTATTTGAGACTTTGCCAATTGCTTTTAATCTGGTGATGAAAGACGATGATAAATCTTAAGAGACCCAAATTAATAGAGAGGAAATTGATTTTGTAACGTGTGGACTTGTTTTATTAGACTCCTGCAGGCTGGATGAGATTGGGAAGGCAGCGCTGTGGGGCTGGGTAACAGCTCTGGCAGGGCTTTGGCAGCACCTCCAATCCTCCCATGGATCCAGGAGGGATCATCTCATCTGCTGCCCTTGCCCCCACCGCACCCCAGCCCTGCCCTGCTGGGTGCTGGTGACCAGGCAGGTGCTCGGGTCCTTCCCCATCACTCCTCGTTCCATTTTCTTATTTAAAGGCTGTAGATCCTGATTCTCCTCACCCTCCCCAGATTGCCCCCAAACCTGGAGCGTGACC